AATATTAATTTAAAACAAAATTGAACTCCAGGTAAAAGGTATTAACTTGACAGATAAGCATCTCACCTTGTAAGATATAATTATGTGTTGCATAGCAACAGAGAGAATCTTAGAAAGCTTCATTAGGTGGCTTTTGCCTAGGTATGAGCAGCATAGAGCATACACATGCAAACTATGACAGCCATGACATCAGTACTGTGTCATTTTATGGGTCACTGGCATATATTCTCACCATTAGGCCAACATGCCATTGTATAACATGTGACTGTGTTCGTTTTACAGAGAGATAAATTATAGACATTTGTACCTAGTATATATCTTTTGAAAAAGTAAAGCAAGACAGAAGAGGTGATTAAAGTAGAAATTGGGACTGCAATTCATACTAAAAACTTCATATACATACATACACACTCATAAAAAGTAAAAGCTAAAATGGACTCAGAAGGAAACTCAAGGACAATTGTACTCGAGTTTGAGAAAAAGAAATCTAATCCCAACAGGGTAGAGATGAAGGCGCTCTGAGCAGTTTCTGGGAGTACATGGAAAAGGGAAGGGAGAGGCGGCCGTGATTTCGAGTTAATGGTCAAGAAAGGCAGTCAACCCAGCCCTTTACTTGCCTTCTCCCTGAGTAGCATTCCCTATCAAGAGAATGAACATCAATACCTCCCCCCATGGCATATTATCAGTAAGCTATCAATCATGTACCAGTGCAGAATTAATCTAAAATTACGAAGAAGTGTCAGGTTAATGTTTAAAACAAACTATTTAGTAAATTATCTTGGAACAGGAAGATATTCATTTGGGAAACAATAACTATCTAAATCCCTACTCCGTACAGCTGGCCAAAATAAATTAGAGGTGAAATCATAAGGTAAGAGGTGACAGGCAGATGAGCAAAACTATGAGAAACACAGGAAAGTATTTCTATAACTTAGAGTAGAAAAGTCCTGCTTAATCAAGATAAAAATGAAAAACTGTTTAGAGCAAAAGATGGCTATACCAAAATATAAATGTTTATGAATAGCAGGATGCTGTGAGTGACAAGAAAGGCAACAGCAAAGAAGATGCATAAAATACAGATAATCAACCAGAGTCGAGGCCGGCGGGATGGATATGGACACAAAGATCAGGAGCTGCCACTGTTTCTGCTTTGTGGGTGTTTTCTATGCAAGTTAAAAGATCAGCTCTCCCAGAACCCCAGAAGTTTGGATCTGCTGTAGTATCTGCTATAATTCAATGCCCCAAGGAAAGACTCCCCACATTGCCCTAAGAAGGAGGCTGTGCTGGAAAGTTTTGTTCTACCTTGACGCGTGCTAAAGTCATCTGAGAGGAGAAAAACCTCAATTAAGAAAATACCTCCATCTTATCTTGATGTACCCATGCATCTTGGTGCCTGGGGGCAGTCAGCTGACTCTTTGTCTTTCTAGGTGGCACTTTTAACAAGGCTGTTGATGGCCTGGCAGGGCATTCGCTAGCCTGTGGCCTTTTCCTCACTTAAAACAGGGACCCAACAGCTTTTGGGAGTCAGCTAGTGCCAGCACTTGGCAATTTTTTTGGGCTTTTACCTTAAATGCCATAGATGACTCTCTTGCCTGTGGGGTCAGGAGCCTTGCTCTCCAGATGCTTAAGTTTTAGTTGGGGAGGTCTGGGGAACAAGAGATGGATTTTACTCCATGTCCTGAATTTTTTTTCTTCTGATGATTGATGGCTTAAGGACAGATTTTGGGAGATCTGTCAGTAGGCTGTAAGCTGATTTTTTGGTTTAAGAGCCATCCTGATTATTGTAAACTTATTTGTATGGATCTTAGCCGCTTCCAGACCCATCTGTGCTTCTCAAGGCAGTTTGAGAATGAGTGGGTGGAGTTAAGGTGAGTTAGGGCAAGTCATAGAAACCGCCCAAGCCCGCCCACTTAAGCCCGCCCACTGCCTGCAGAAGTGAGACAGAAAAGGTTGCGTG